TAATATGAAGACTATTATCTGTAGTTGAGTTAGAACTATTATCAGGCCTAACGCTTCAGCTGGTATTTCAAATTTAAATACTTGATAGTTATACTTGTAGGGATTCATTCCCTATATTACTGTCCACCCAATCTTTGTTAAGATTCTCTGATAACAGTCTCCTTTGGCCCAACACACAGTTGGCAGCAATCCCTTAGTTGTGGTCCCTTCATCTCTAGATCCCCACTCAGATCTCTACTCTTCTCTCTGAGAGTCTACCAATTATTGCCTTCTGCAATAATATCCTTGAGATGGAACTTCACACTGGATGCTGATAGTCTAACTATAACCAAATCTACAATAAAACTAATAATTTTCTAATGTATTAATTTGAATCTGTTTTTATCCATCTTTTATTATAGTAAATCCTAGGGAATTTATAGGGGATTCGGCCATCTAACTCTCAGTTGACACCTCTTAAATGAAACAGCAGCCGTTGCTGTTGAATCACCCTTCCTCGTCTTGGCAGCAATGGTCTTCCCCATCCTGGCTAGGATTCCGACATTGGTCAACCTCGAGACCTCAAACAAAAAGAGTCAGAAACGTGTCCCTAACGTTTACCTCTTAATCCAAGTGAACCAACCATAATTGGCTAGCGACCTGCTTAGGTAATGTGACTTTTTACCCATTATGGCAGGTCACTTCACCAACCAATCGATTCACTAGTTGCAGGTGGCATCACTTGCCTCACAACTCACCATACATTCCCAATCAGTTGGTGATGAAACCTGACTAATACCAATTGGTACACCTGATAGTTAATCACTATCAGATGCCCCTATTTTGTTGGCCGCTCCACCCAATGAGATATTAGGTATTCATACAGATATATCCCCAACGGATATGAACAGGCGAATATCCCAAAATCCCCCATACATAGTTCCTCTGAAATTCAGGTCAACAAATTTCTTATTCACTTCACTCTAGGGAAGTTTCCCCTAGTGACACCAGGTAATCTAGCAGGCTGAGAATATGGGCAAAAATACTAACAACTATCAACCTCCATTCACTAGAGAACCTGCACTCAGATTCAAGGCAACTGCATGGAAAAACAAGGCAATCTGAGGTCAAAACTGGTGCCACTACTGCATATTTATTACCACTGGAAGGCCAGATTCTCTATGGCATAGAACTGCTTTTTGAACCCAAAAGGACTCTGACATACTCCTATTGAGTGACTTACTAATCATGAGGGAGCCCTCTGTGACACATTGGCAAACACTACCTCTGGTCCCTTCTGAATTTAAAACATCTTTTTTTTTAGTACTAGATCTGAATTTAAAACATCAATTCCTTGGATCATGTGAGCTCAATGTAATTTTCCTCCACTACTATATCTACCAGGGTCATCACCTCTTCTGTTTCGCCATTTGTGTATAGCTCCACCAGGAAATATAATGGGTATGAAGTGAAGAGACTTATTTTAGAATGCATTTTGGAATTGCAAGTTTGCAAGTGACAAATACTTGAGCACTGTAAGTCTGGGGGGAGAGCTATCTCTGTTTGAAAAGGAGGTGTTCCATATCCCATCCAAGAAGGGGTCAAGAATACCGGCAGCCCCCTTTTTTCCCAGGGCAACCTTATCCATGTGTTGGACAAGTGGTGGGTCATGGCTTACCTTTTTAGGATTTTGCCCCCTTTTCAGCTCTTGCATCCAGAGAATTAATACAGTTTAATGAGGGGATCTGTATCAAGTTGACAAAGAGTTGTCATCTACATGGGGCAATGGGGCCATGTGCAATTAACAGCAACGAATCTTTAGTCTTAATAGTTGATAGTAACAAACCATTGAAACAAAGCCCAATGGGCATGTACCTTCAACAGAAAAAGTCATTAATGTAAAATCTTTGGTAACACTCGCCAATGGCATTAGGCCATTGCCAAAAGTCACTGAAAGCTCTGAACTCTCTCCAGAAGAATTTAGAACTTTGTCCAATAATTCTTGCATGGTCAAATGGATTCAGAGTGACTGTACCTAGGCGGTTTGGTGCCCTGAACCCATTTCCAACCTATTAGACTGCCCCTATGTGGGGTGGCCTTGGAAGTTTCACATTGCCCATTGGGTGTGACGCCATCATTAAATCATTGGAACCACAGAAAATCCACAATTTGGATGTCCATGGATGAACTGACAGAAACTTGGCCCACCACTAATAATTTCAAAGTCATTTAAATTGAGATCATTTCCCCCTTGCATAAAGTTTACCAGGTTAGGTCAAAACTTGAGGGTCCTAATACTGCGCTTTATTAAGCTATTCCCCAAATCAATTGTCTGTTTAAGCAGTCATACCACACTGAGTAAATTGACGTTCAATTTCTCTATTTTAAAATTCAATAAAAATTCCTGTGCTCCAACTTCAATTTTTTATGACGAAATTCAAACCACCCAATCTGATCCTACTCTTCCCAACACCCAGACCCATGGGCACTGAGGCCATGACAGCCTGGTTTGTTGCCAGGTTCCTATTTACAGTTATGGCCTATTGGCGCTTGCTGGTCAATTCCCTCCCAGCACAAATCAACGTTGTTCAAGCAGCAGCACCCCTGGCATTCAGGCTCACTTTTCGAGAATTTTTGCATCCAGACTGGAAGGTCAGTCTAAACTTTATTTGCTGTTATCATGAGGCACGTTCTCCTTCCCATGTCTGTGGCTCAACGAATTTACTGGATTCCTCTACATTCCCTTGTAGAGCTCCCTAATATGCTTCTGAAATTGCTTGGGACTGCATGAAAAACCTCCTGGACAGTAAAATACCCACCAGAGATTGACCTTTTCTTGATGACATGGAGTCCTCACACCAGTCTCATGCTAACGCCAATGGCTTCTTAACCTACAGGGCTAATGCAACCTCATCTGCCAGCATATCCTGAACTTTCACTGCCACCATGGCCGCCAGTAGATCATCCCATGTTCTTTGACAGAACATCTGTGAGTATTGTGAATCCGCTACATGAGCTTTTGTCAATTGAAAGAAAATCTGCACATACTCCTCCACCCAGCTATGCCCCTGGCTAACTATCAGAAGCACTGATCATGCTTCATCCTTTAACACATCTGGGTAGGATGCACGGTCAATCATTTCCACACACCCATCCAAAGAACTTGGTAGGTGGCCCTGTTCCCCAATCAGCTCCTGAACCCAGCCTGCTAAGTTTGAGGGCAGTGAATCCACAATTTGGGCTATCTGGAGTGAGAAAGGGGCCTCCCCCTGTTGCTTGTGCCAAAATTTCCAGGAAATAATCTTCCCTATCACCTGGTAAATTTTGTCCAGTGCCTCCATGGGAAGGGCTACTCATCCATTGTTTGATTTGGACTTACTGGGATTGACGCCACTTTTGGCATTGCAGCACTCCATAACCACCTCACCTAACATTAAAAAGGCCATTGAGAAGCCTACCATCACCACGGTTAATAAAGGTTGGTACCATTCCTCCCCTCCTGAGACCACCTCCCCCTCTTGGGGGCCCCACAAGTCATAAAGAAAAGTATATAAGTTCTGTTTAATGTAACAGATGGGTTTGTGCCAGTATGCTACAAAGGAGTTGGGTAATACCAGCCATTCCACCAACTACATAACTGAAATCCCAGAAGAAATTCATCCCTGAACCCACATGCCATGTCTGGATGTCATTATGGATTCTCAAACCATGGTCCCAGTGACACTACATGCCAATAACAAAGTCTGGCTCCAGGACAGCGCCAAGGATGAGTCCAATGCTTGACCTAGCTTGCTTGTCAAGCTTAAATTCTAGATCTGGAGTTTGAATGTATGGTTTTATATTAATAAAGGTATTCAAAATAATCTAGCAAATATTTTATTAATATTGTAAGATTTCTTAGAAAACAAGTTTAAATCTTCAGTTATTGCCTTCCCCTTTATATAGCACTGCAAAATAATCGACTAAGCTCCTTTACCCAAGCTTTTGAACAATGACCAGATCATCATTTGTGAAGGCTCAATCTTATTTAAGTATCATACGAGAATTTGGGATACCAGTGTCACATTTGGCAGATCGACTTTTGTTCCTGATTTTTGATTTCTTACCCTTGACAACCCTGTTCCTTATCTGCCCTTCTACTGAACTAAAATTATTGGAATTAACCTTTGATTTCTCAGAAAAATCTGAGATTTCGCCCACCAGGTCAATTTGCAGACCAGATTGTGCCTGATCCATTACAATATTGGTACAGACTACCAACACAAGGGTTGCCCTGTCTGCACTGAAACAGAAGCAGATATTGGCTACCAATGCTTTGAGTGTGCTATCTCCTGCAAGTACTAGTACACAATGAGACACCTCCTGTCTGGCATAGAATCATTGGTAGAGCTGCACCCCTCACAGGACCTGCTTTATTGCATCTACCCTGCAATCAGCCATAATCCAGCTGCATGCCTTACTTTACTATTATTGTATCTGGGCTGTACACTCAACTATCATTGCCAAACAATATAGCAATGAACACCCTATTACAAAGGCCTGGTGTTGAACTGATCTAAGGTTATATCTGATTAGCTCCAACAGATATCTAAACTTTCATGACTGGCTTTCTCTGCCAGATGGATTGTATGATGTGATGAGGCTACTTATTGCCTTAAACTAAAGCGGCCTTTAAGCCTACCAATAATCAAACTGTGGCTAGCGATGGCAGTCACTGATCAGCAATGGTCAGGGATGCTTGCCGACTATCAGCTTCTCCCAACTCTTTATTTTTGGCCAAATTTTCTGTTTTCACCCCTTCCTCTTACTTTCATTTTTTGTAAATAAAGTATGGAGTTTACTAAAATTAGTTGGTTATCACATCTATCTAATCCTCAGAAGGTATGAAGTTTGAATCTGGAAACACATGATTTTTAATATTGTATACCTCATCAATACCTTTACTATATAGGACTGATAAGTATTTCGATTTCATATTGAAGGGAGTAAGTTTTTTTCAGTACTATGATTTAATAAAAAGAGATATATGTCTATGTGGTGTAGTTGGTTATCACATCTGTTTAACACACAGTAAGGCTCCAGTTATAATCTGGAAAAAAATATATCATAATTTTAAATACCTCATCAATACCTATGTTATATATGACTGACCAAGTGTTACAATTTTATACTGAAGGGAGTATGAGTTTTTCAATACTACAAGTTAAGAAAATACAATACAAGTCTTTGTGGTGTAGTTGGAACAAATATCACTTTTTATAGAAAAATTGAATTGAACAAGAACTGAGAGAGCAACCAACTGCTAGAACGCACTGCAATTATATAGAGCAGTGAACAAAGGCCAACCACCCAAGCGTAGGAAGTCTATCAGCCTGTCTATGCACAGCACATAGAAATAGATGACTTGCCCGCGGTAATATTTATTTTTAATAATAATAACACAAAGGATGCTACGATGGACATACCATCTGACAACCTTCCCGCTGGCCCATGCCCTGACATGACTAGAAATGGGGAAGAGCAATCTACCATGTGCACATCAAGTAACGACTTGGCAACACAAATAACAACAAAATGCACAAACGCATCAATGGGTCACGGAGCCCTAATGACTAGCATGGATGATGGGGTCGACTCCCTAGGATCAATGACCACTGACACCCAGATGACAAGAGAAACCTTCTGGGAGTGAGGCTTGACACCAATAACAGCAGAGTCGGGAATATTCCCCATTGAACCTCAATCAGCAAGGGGGACTGGGGCCTCGAAGGGTGAGAAAATTATTGCTAGAAACATAGAACCTGGATGAAGTATTGGTAGGATCTGACACCGACTCAGATTCAAATAGCAAAAATTGGTGGTTCAAACCAACAGAGGCAAGCAATAAAAGTTTTCTTCCAACATGGAGAAACTTACTGAATCCGCTCAGGGTATTTGAGTGAAGTACATGTCAGGCTCTAATCCCAAAAAGCCCAGTTGGGGGGTGAATGGTCCCCAACCAAAATTGATTTGGCAACATGAGTATTTCATCAGGTGGGATGCCTAATATGCTATTGGATGCAATCCTGATGAATGCATGCTGACAGGGGGCCCCTAGCTCAACAATGCATCGACAGCCAATCCTAAATAGCCAATTGCTGACCCAAGACAATCCATTGGGGACCAACCAAGGCAGGGGTGAAACTATATCGGGGACCAAATCTGAGGGATTGGACACCCAAGAGTGTTCAGCAAGAAAACTAAAAGTTTTACTGGAAGGGGCGGAAACCCCAACAGCGGTCAAGTCGATGGCTAGGGCTCCAGTAAAATTTACACCAATCCAGTCAGATATGTTAGCACGTTGAGGCGTGTCCACCTGTGAGGGCAACAATGGGAGGCCCTCCAGTTTCCATACTCTATGGAGACTCAGTGGGTCTCTAAAGGTATCAAGCCAGCCATCGTGGCTATATGGCGCGACCATAAATTTTCCACTGAAGTGGCCAAACGCTGGCTCAACACCCAAATCTCAATCAATATGGTGGTACAATTCAAGGCGTCCCAAGTTCAAACTGAAGACATCCTGGGATGGATGAAAATCCCCGTGGACTACAAGGTGATAGAGGCCACAATCTGTGAAGATTTAAAGCTGGTGGATGAAAAAGCCTGGATAGAGGCCAGCATCAACTTATTAGATGCAATGGAGTACAATAAGGTGGGCATTACAGCACAATACACCCAAGCTGTCAGGAGCTCAGGCCTTAACCCAACAAATTTAGCCAAGTACACTAGATGAATTCCAAATGCATCTACGGCCCTCAAATGGGCCAACACTCCATTCCAGTGGACATGGCACTGGAATGGTATAACATTACTTTCTCCCCAGAGGAGGTAATACCATGGATCATGGCTGGGTTCAAGGCAACTGAAGTCTTACACTGGTTGTACACCCAAATTCCACCAGCCACTGAATCAGACCTGATGAAAGCAGGCTGGACAAAGGGAAAAGGCGGTGGAATGGGGATCCTCTCAGGATTGGTCGCCAGAAGAGGCCATCAACTGGTCTGCCAACAGATTTATCCTAATGGAAATAAAATACTGGTTTTGAGCAGAAGCAGTATGGACCTAGTGTGCAAATGGGCAGAGATGGGGGTGACTAAACCGATTCACAAAACTCTTAGAGGCCAGCCATTCCTGATTGAAAAGTGGAAAATCTGGCATGACGCCGCAACTCTCGCTGAGGCTGCAGACTGGGATGCAGCGGGTTCACCCCCAATCAGCCCAACCATGGATGGAACACGAGATCTTGCCACAGGCAGCAACAGCAATGACTAGGGTCATGACCCCAGACTTAGGCTGAGAATGGCTAAAAGCGGGGATCCACATTGAAACTATCCAGGATGGAAGCAATCCTTCCCAGAACCAACATTAGCGGCCGTATATGCCACCAAAGGCTTCACCCCTCAGAAGCGTTCCAATGGAGTGAAGTGGGTGTTCCGGCAGACCTACATGGGTATTTAAAGATGGGGCTGGACTAGTGTTACAGTAAGGGATTGGTGCCAACGTAGCTTGATTACGCTGGAGATCCTCAATTATACCTCCACCCAACGTGTGGCCCAGAATCTACCCTCAAGTGGTACTAACTAGGATTTTCACTGATGGATGCCCTTGAGTGGCAGAGCCTAGAGATTGGAGCGCAAATGGCTAGAAGTATCAACCGCCGTGGTATCAACATTTACCAGATTGAAGCATTCCTCAGCTGGGGATTCAGCCTCAACAAATCAGTAATTTGGATTTTGAAGGGAAAGACCCCCACCAAAGCACCCAAACCAAGCGCGAAAACCAAATCTTACAGCGCTGCAGCGGCGCATACCAAAAGACAACACCTGGAATGGAGTAGGGAGCCACATCAAATACATCTGTCAATTGATCAGCAGGGGCTTTATAGATCGCCAGGCACTAAAATCATACCTAAAAGATGCTATCCAAATCCACCTGCAACTAGTGGAGGAGGAAGAATGGTCCACCTAATATTGTTGATTTATCAGGAATTAGACGAAGTCCTAGACGAAGGGACTTTAATCATCATTGGGTACCCAAATGGGGCTATATAGATATAGCAATCCCAGGCGATCTGGACCGCAAGAAAATCCTCGAAATTGGCATCAAGTACAAGAGGATTTATCTGTGAATGGAGCCAACCAGATACGCCAACCAAACTGCAAGGTGGGTAACCTTCCAGAACCTCCCCCACCAATCGCAAACAGGAGTGGGTGCATGAAGCGATTTGGACCAGATTGTCATACTATGGGGAAGCAAGAATTCTGGCAAGCTGGTGGCAATTACATCGCAAAAGTGCCTGCCCTCGGACAGTGGAAGTGCTGTATGAACTGGCACCCTGAATGAAACTGAACAAAATTGCTCTACCCAGATTCATCCAACTGCCCAGCCTCAATAGGGTAGTATATGTCAAACAGGAGGATGCCAAACAAGTGTACCAGTTCTGCTACCAGACCAGCCACACAATGGTTCAATGTCACCATTGTAAAGGTAAAACTACATGGGAATACGAGGCCCCATCAGGGGAATCACCAAGGTGGGTACCAAGACCTTACCCGCCCCGAAAGCCAGAGAATGGATCCTGTGCAACTTAATGTAGGTAACGGATATGAAATGCCAGCGACAAGAATTAGACCTGGAACATAGAGAAGCATGGTAATGGGAAATGGCAAAATGACTTGAAGCAGATGACAAACCATTTATAAATCCAAACCCCAAATCTTATGCAGTGGGTGAGGGAACTGTCCCAGGACCAACAGAGAAACGTCCAACCCAAGCAGAATGGATGGTCTGGGAGGAGGAAAGATGGCAGAAGGCGAACCTGAAGAAGTCTCCCAAGCAATGGCGGATGCATGATACCAGCAAGTCAAAATTAAAGCCCAACAAGATAAAAGGGAATGCAAAAAATGAATCAGAAGTCATTGGCAAATAAGCTGAGGTGACTGGCAAAAAGTTAGCAGGAGTGACGAAATTGAAAAAATCAGTTGGGCAATCACCAGCTAAAGAATTGAGTTCTGCTAATAAATTGAACAAAGGGGTGTGAATCCAGCTGATGGACAAGGGAGAATCTGCTGATCTGCCCACAGGGAAAAAGGGGCACCCAGACCCAATCATAAATCCATCCCCATTAACCATCAACAAGGAGATGGGGGATGGCGACTGGAATTCCAGTGCACAAGATTCCTGGGAATATAATCCCAGTCCCAACCAACTGACCTCAAAAACCAAATATTGCACCCCGCTAACTATTGATACCATTACCATCGACCAACTAGACCTCAGTACAGGACTCGATCCACAACCCATACAACGCTAAACCTCATACCCATGGGTTGGGCAGCTAGAAATGAGGATAGCGACTACAAATGCTCGGTGGATGTTGAGCATACAAATGAGGAGGAGGAAAATGCACCACTTAAAAAATAATAATATTGACATAATTTTTATTTCAGAAACACAAGCTGGTAACCAAAAGGAGATGGTGCTGAGCTTGAACTGCAACGCGAAAACCGCCCATGGTTCACCAGATAGGCTACCAAGCCCTATGGATGGACCACATGGCGATAGTCACAATGGACAAGAAATTAGACCTGGAATTCATGGAAGAAAAACACGCTGGTAGGATCTTGATATTGATAGCTAAAAACAGAGACACTGGCAGGAGCATATGAGCGGTAGCAGTCTATACCCCACCAAAGCTCCACAAAAACCATATTTTAGAATTCTTAGCAGAAGTGCCATCTGAAGAGATGACTGTAATAGCAGGCGACTTGAACTGTTGAATGAATGTGAGCCAGGATACACCCAATGAGAACATCCCAACAGTAAAGCTGATGAGATGCTCAATTACCTAGTCAAATTGGGGATGTGCCTAATGATTGATAAAGAGGACAATGACCTGGCCAATCTAATATGGTGGTCATATGATGCTGCTGGTGTAACAGTTGGGTTGAACTGATTGTTACAATTTTAACTTGAAATTCGGATTTCCAAATTTTGAGTTGAAATGCCATTTTGAGGTTTTGAGGTTCATGCGGGCTCAGCGTTGGGCTGTGCCCCTCCCAAGCTATT